AAAACTAACCTAACCCAACCTATCGTTACATTAAGCGTCAGTCATTCTTTATTAAAGTGTTTAATTTTTGTGTTTTCTGTTGTCACATTAATACAAAAGTTGAACACTTTAATAAAGAATGACTGACGCTTAATAGGTCATTGTTTGTTAAAAAGTTCGATATTGCTCGTTAACGGTATACAGTATCGAAAAATTGTAATATATTTTTCGGACTTCTTTCATCAATAATTTTTTAACAAACAATGAGCGACGGCTAAAATCTTCAGAAGGTCACTCAGAAGGGTGACCTCTATGACATATGTCAAGATCAGGCTGATCTGAGGTGGCGCCCTTTTTCTACACCTTTACCCTTGTTTCCTCAATCCTCTAGAAAATTCAACATTCCCAATAGCTAATGGATATTGTTGAGGATATATTAGTGTATCTTTATAATATTTGTTTCTTCTATATTCAGTGGAGAAGTTAGTAACTGAAGTCTTGATTATATCCAGAATGCTTTCAATATCAAGTACACTATTTTTATGCATACTGTCATCGTAGCAAATTTGTGAAGCTAACGTCAATGAATTTGTCACAAAAAGTAATAAATTTCGGATTAAAGTTTGAGCTGTTTTTCTAGGAATAATTGGGTCTGCTAACAATGAACTAAATATTAAAGATAAATCACGAGTAAAAATACTATTAGCAGTCTGATTGTTAGATGTTGGTTGCATTTGTACTATACTGCCATCACTATTTGAACCTATTTCTTCTATATCGGTCATTTGTATTTCATTATTTCTTACAATCTTTTTATTCACACTCCTCGCTACAGATATGCAATCATGTGTTGGTGCAACCTTCTCTTCAAACGTAGTAATTGCGTTAGTAGAAATACCAGAATCAGAGATGGAAGCATTATTTTGTGAAATATGTGTAGATATTGCACCATGAATTCTTTTATAATGCATCCTAAGAACTTGTAATGAATCAAATATGCGGAAACATCCAAATTCTCCGCATCGAACACGGGAAGAGTTGGAATACGAGAACTTTGAACATGTGTGTTGAAGATGTTTCAATATTTCAGATATTACTTTAAATTTTCCCGAACAATAATAGCACGTTAGCATGATGCACGATAAATTGTAGCAATAATGAGACAAAAAGAGGAAAATAAGAATAATAGTACAATTATGTATAATGAAATTAACCTTAGACAAAAGAAGAGTGTTACTCTTCAACGAAATTATTTCTCAAATATTTTACAAAACATTGTAACTTAACAAGATATTGGCAATATTAATTATAAAAACTGTAACAATTCTATTATTAGTTAACAAATAAAAATTAAGGACTAATTTGACAATGGAACGTCTTAGAAAAATAATATTAAAATTATAATTTTTTTTGTTTTTTTTCTCAACGGTGTAACTTCTTTTTCCTCTATATAAATACCAATATCAGCCAAAGTTTTCATAATCGTTCGTCGATTGACATCATGATCCTTAATAAATTATTTATAAAAACCTTGTTGTATCAATTGCCATACGTGCTTACTTTCAGGAGGATAATCAGAATGAAAAACATGAAACAATTTAAAACAAAGTTCCGCAGCCTCTATAATGTTTTTGCATGTATATAAAACTTTATCTACAATTATGTGACTGTGACTGATATTATCCCAGGTAGGACCTATGGCCAAAACATAAGGTTGAAGAGATGTACATATTTTTGCTGACTTTGCTATTTCTATCCGCGACTTACGTCGGCGTTCAATGTGTTCTTCAACTTCCGTTTCACTATAGACTCTCGCGATAAAAGACTCTACAATGTCCACTCTCGTTGGTTTCCACGTCTTGTGCACATGAACATAAGGAAATATAAAAGGAAGTAAAAGGAGAGCTCCAGTCACTCTAAGCGTAACATTGGAATCTTCTAAAAAAGTAAAATAAATATTATAAAATCTAAGAGTATACTGTATATATTATGTATTACTTACGTTTAGCCAACTCAAAGAACGAGGTAGCTATATCCTTATGCTTCTGTTGGCTTGTTTTTTTTAGAACTACTGAGACTGCTGCGATAATGGCGTGTCTGTGATTCTCACAATTTTTGGTTAGATTCCCCGAGTATTTCGTTATAGGGTCTAGGTCGGGATAAAGTTTGTCGAAATCCTGTTCAATCTGCATATGGAAGTTTTGTAATTTCATTGATATGTCCACATAAAAAGTAATACTATTCATTTCGAATAAATATTTGATGTAAGCACATTATATTGCTAAGTTTATAAAGAAAACTTACTAAGGCTTTACCGATTTCTTCAATTTGCAAAAACTTATATTCGTTTAAATAATCCCATACTGTTCCTGGTTGATCTGTTAGTTGTTTCCGCCTGTACTGAAAAGTTGCTTCCCAAGAGGCTGCTAGCTGTGGAGTCAATTTATGGTGCAATTGCTGCCGCAAATACAAAAGATGAGTCTCTATTGTTGGATCAGCTTCTATAACAGATACTAATGTGCGCAAATTAATTGTTGGAAAAAAATATAATATATGAGAACAATATTATTAACATATTTTACTGCGGATGATGAAATTAATTACCTTTTCTTGGAATTTCAATGCTAGATTGAATTTCTCCTTCTGATTGACTGACAGACCTCCAGGTTGTTGTAATATTATATATGTCATTTGAAGAACACGGATCTCTGTTCTTGTCAGTTGAAACTATATTTGGGTGTCTCAACAAAATATCTCGGTTTTCTTTGATAAGTTTTCTCCTTTCTTGAAAGAGTTGAACCTGTAGCACACCTTCTGCTCTTTTTCTCTGAAGTAAGATACCATCTTTACGTTTGTACGGCTCGTATTTAAAGGCATAGAAAGCGGATGTCGGTGTCTTTGGAAATAGATCTTTAAAATATTTCATCCATGTTATAAGGGTAGATGTAGGTACTTTTCGTTGCGGAAGAGTAGCTAAATCGAGCAGATGTTTAGCAATAACTTTTCCTATCAAATTTATGTCAGGCCCCACTGGTACCAAATCATTACGATGGATATTATGAATGAGTTTTCGTAAATGGGATCCGCTATTGTGTAGAAGGGTAA